CCACCCCCACCCCACCCGAACCCCCTACTGGGGATACTCCTTCTTCATCTTCTTCATTGCTTCAGATCTCTCCATTTATTCCATAATAGGGGAGGTTTCAACCAATTTTTCTCCTGTTATATATATTCTCATCGTCTCCCATTCTGTATACGTACATATAATGTATGTGAATACACATTCTCATTGCTGAGCTTCAATCAGACGGGAATATCCATTCCATTTGTTTCTCTCTCCTGTTTCAGCGTATTTCACTTGTCGGTGATCTCTATATACATTTTTTTTTTGTTTTGGAAAATGGCGGCAGTTTCCGGACCTCTGACGCCTGGACAGGTACTAATGCTTGTGTTTGTCGTTTCATTTTATAGTGATGAGTTTGAGTTTTTCTTTTTGAAGTTAAATGAAGTTTAGTTTTGGAATCGGATCCTTTAAATAAGAGTTAAACAACGGAAATGTGGGATTGTAGTAATAATTGTGAGTTCTTTTGGGTCCGGATCCGTTGGAGAGTTGAACTACGGTAGTGTACAACTTCAAATAAGTGTATTAGTAGTTAAAATGAATTTTGATCTAAGAGCACTGATATGAGGAGATTCATTTCCTGTGAACTGAGTTTTTGTGTTTATTCTAGTAAAGAGCAGATAGCATGTTATTTGTTGTTGCTGTTGGAGGTTATTAACTGTCGGTAAACAAATTATTCATGTTTTGATAACGAAGATGGAATCTGAAGGCCGAAATGGCTGTTCTTATGGAATTATCTTTGCGTATTATTATCTTTAGAGTAAGAACTGCACCTGCGCTGCCTCAATGTCGAACATTATTTCGTTTTGTTCTTTATTTCATTAAGGCAAATTTGTTGTAGAATCTACTGAACGATCTCCCGTTTCATGTCTCAGGTGTCATTTTTGCTTGGATTCATCCCCGTCCTTGTTGCATGGTTATACTCCGAGTGGTTGGAGTACAAGAAGTGGTTGTTCCCATCTAAAGTGTAAGTTAAACAGCTCAATCCTTGCCATGACGGAGACCAACCCCCCTTCCCACTAAGTTGACCCACTCAATTTTCGACATGCAAATAACCACCGAATTGATCTCCATCCAATAAGGAAAAGGAAAAAGTATTGACAACTCATATATCCCCTTCACTATGGAGCTTGTAGAGTACTGAGACATGACTGCTATTTGTTAATCACTAGTGAGCAGTATCACTAGACTACTTGATTTCTGAAAGCAGCTGTGGTTCCTTTAGCTGTACAAAAAATATACAAGCAATTGTACTATCCTACGTTATTAGTTGTCTTATTTGATATTGTTGGCTTCTCTGTGACAGCAGTCATTCAGATAATAATCTAGTTGAATTGGAAAATGCAACAATCACAGAAGAAGATCGAGCTGTCTTGCTGGAAGGAGGTCTGTCAAAATCTGCATCTACGAAGTTGTCTAGTTCATCAATAAAAACAAATATAGTTAGGTCAGTGCACTGTGCATAGTGGTGGATTTTCCTTGAACTTTCTTAATTAATTCTTCATTAAACATTTTTCTAATTATTTTATAGGTTTCTAACAATGGAGGACTCCTTTTTGCTCGAAAATCGAGCAACTTTAAGGGCAATGTGAGTCTCTTGGTTGTTTCCAGTATGCGGGATGCATTTTTCTCCTCATACTAACCTCTTTCTCTTTCAATCTCATACAGGTCCGAATTTGGGGGAATCCTTTTTTATTTCTATATCTGTGACCGCACAAATTTCTTCGCAGATTCTACTAAGGTTCATAATCTTTTAACTTAAAAATAATGCATCATGATATGCTTGCTAGATCATGATTTTGAGTAACCTCATGGATAATGGCGCATGAGCATTTTGTGGTGCACCTAGAGTAATGTGTTCTCTGCATACTGTGTTAAATATACACAGCCAGTTCAGCCTAAATGATTTGATACTTTGTAATCTTGGCCATTATCCACCCCTGTATGTGATATCCTGATTGAACTGTTGGATGTGGAAATTGTGCTGTGTAACTTTTGTCTTAATGTTGTTTCAAAATGTTTTATCAAAACTTTAGCATGCTTTGCTCCAAAGGAACTAATTTTAGTATTATTCTAGAGAAGATGTACTAGCATATATATGATATGCATGCTAGTGTGTAAACTCGTTCGTACTTTCTAGAAATTTTGGATCTTCTCTACTATAATTGGTTTATTTTGGAAACTTCAAATTTTCCATGTTTAAATGTTTTACCACATGCTTCAGACTCATTCTTGATAAATTGTTGTTTTCTTTGCTTTCTTGTGCCCATCCCGTTAGTTTTGTATATAGTTCTTGGTATTGAGAGTTTAGTACAGGATCTGCATTGGTAGTTGACTAGAATGAAGGATATGTTGTCCAATGATTTCTGCATCGTTTGCTGCATTATACTTAAAGTATGCCATCTCCATTGCGGAATTATAAGATGTATATTTGCAACCCCGCAAGTGCAGCTGCTCAAAGTAACAATTTGCTGTTTGATATTGTTTTCCTTGATCAGAGCTACAATCGGGACCTCTTCCTCTTTCTGTATTGTCTTCTGATCATAGTTTCAGCAATAACTTCTTTCAAGAAACACAATGACAAATCAGCATTTTCTGGAAAATCCTTGCTTTATCTTAACCGTCATCAGACAGAGGAGTGGAAAGGATGGATGCAGGCAAGTGTTTTCTGTCACGTTTTTCTTGATCTACTTATTCTTCAGTTTTGTAAGAAGTAAATCTGGACAGTTCTTTAGGGAAATACTTTCCATTTGCACCCTTTGTTCCTCTGTCTCTCCAGTGAATGTGTTACAACATAGTTGCTTGATTCTTGCACAACTTCTTTGTTCAATGTGTTATATTAAGAAGCAGTAAATCATGCAGATTCTCTTTTGAATGCTCAGAATTTGTCTATTCAAGTATCTCCAAAACTTTTGAAAAAGAAGTATCCCAACATTTCATGTGTATATTTTTATTTCCTGTATATTTGAACTGCTCTTTGTATAGCCTCCTACAGTATATGATGTTCTCCACATTTGGCCAGTCTAAATAATCTATCCTTTTGTTTGCAACAGGTCCTCTTTTTGATGTATCATTATTTTGCTGCAACAGAGATATACAATGCCATTCGTGTTTTCATTGCTGCATATGTTTGGATGACTGGTTTTGGGAACTTCTCCTATTATTACATCAGAAAAGATTTTAGTTTGGCTCGGTTTGCTCAGGTAACACTATCTGTTAATATTTTATTACCTTAAATCAGAACACTCTTGGTGGTATCTTACATTTCTTAGGTTCAGTGTTGTTAATATGGTAAACATTGCCCTGTGTGCAGATGATGTGGAGGCTGAATTTCTTTGTAATATTTTGTTGTGTTGTTCTTAACAATGACTATATGCTGTATTACATCTGCCCAATGCACACACTTTTTACTCTCATGGTGTATGGAGCCCTTGGCATTGGCTACAACTACAACGAGAAAAGATCAGTGATGGCTCTGAAGCTAGTTATGTGCTTTGTCGTGGTTATCCTGATTTGGGAGATTCCTGGAGTTTTTGAGTTTCTTTGGGGTCCTTTCGCATTTATGTTAGGTTGGTTACGGTGCACTTACTCTTTTTCTTTCTCCAAAATCACTTTTAATATTTACTGTTTTGTGAGCTTGGACAAGGAACTTCGGTTTGCAAGTTACTTCAACTAAGTTGTGGAAAATTCTACCCACTCTTTCATGCAATAGTATGCTTAAGATAAATATGTATGCCTCTAAGTAATGGCAAATGCCATCATTATATGTTCGGTTATAAGTAGTTCTCAGAACTAATATCACCATAAGTGACATGGTTCAGAAATAGTTACAGAATTTGATTTGATGTTTTCATGAAAATCACCTATATGGAACAATAATCATGCTAAGAGGTGCTTATCTTAGATTCATTCATTATATGCAAGAAAAGTCACATGTAATTGTAGTGTCAATGCTAAACAACTGTTTCAAGTGTATTTTGTGTTTCAAGTAATAGTATGAGCGCTAAAGGATCTTTTCCCCCTTTTTCTTGTCGTCCTTTCTTTTTGTATTTTTCTATAGATCGTTGCGTAATCCCTTATCACCTGATTATAGTTTTCTACTTTCTCAAATTGTAGGATACAGTGATCCAGCCAAGCCAGATCTCCCTCGCTTGCATGAATGGCATTTCAGATCTGGACTGGACCGCTATATATGGATTATTGGCATGATATACGCCTACTTTCACCCTAATGTAATGTTAATAAAACTAATTCCTAATTTTTTTTCTTTCACTTGTTCTGTAAGACTTATATTTGGAATATCTTATCCTTTCAGGTTGAGAAGTGGATGGAGAAACTGGAGGAGTCTGAACCCAAGCGGAGACGAACAATCAAGACATCAGTTGTTGCTGTTGCTGTAGCTGTGAGTAGGATTTATCTTGTTTCTAATATAGCATCAACTATATTTGCTGCTGCAGCGTGTCTCTTTTTTCCTTTTTTTTTTCCCTCCAATTTGTAAAGTTTTTCATTCCGTTTTCCTCAGGTTGGGTACTTGTGGTATGAATACATTTACAAGCTGGACAAGACCGCATACAACAAGCTCCACCCCTACACCTCGTGGATTCCCATAACGTGTGTATTAAACTTTCTTTAAATTCTATTTTAGCCCTTTATTTCTGAATGTGAACTTGTAGACAAATTGCTTGCCTACAATGTGCCAAACCAAAGAAAGTATGTTGTATTTCTCTCCTGTTGTCTTGTGCTACTTTCTCATTAATTTTTTTTCAGTGTTTACATCTGCTTGCGGAATTTTACTCAGGAGCTACGGAATTTCTCTTTGACTCTCTTTGCGTAAGATTCTATTGACCCATTTAGATTTTAGCGGTGGTGCTCCTTCATAGACTTTATCCCTTCCTTTTCCTGTCAGCAGATTAATCTTTTCGTTTGTTGTTTTAAACATAGTTGGAGCTGTGTTTATTTCCTCTTCTTTAATGGTTAAGTGCTCAATTTTTCTAGGTGGCTGGGCAAAGTCACATTGGAAACGTATATCTCCCAGTTCCACATCTGGCTGAGGTGTGTGGATTTTACTGTTCTTCTAAGTATAATGATTGTTGTTTCAGACTGAAATAAATAAATGAAGTCCCACATATAAAATTGAGCTTTTACATGGGCCAACTCGCACAGTTTAATTTGGTATTTATGAGTTCCTGCATTCGAGTCTCACTGTCACCAATCAACACGTTCCACATGCTTGGCCTAAGAAAAGGAATCAGCTTGCTCCTAAGGGGGTACATGTCAAACCTAAAAATATATCAACAGAAGTTTCCCTCTCTTAGCAGTTTAAACTTTTAAATGGAGGCTGTTCTAGCAATTCAATAGTTGCCCCCTGAATTTAATCATTTGTGATCTATCCAAAACATTCTATCACCTTGTGATGTTTCCCAAGTAATATGCTAAACTTAAGCATTCCCGTGTGTTTAAAATTCACAGGGGTATTACTGTACCAATTCCATATCTGTAAATGACTGATCCTTAATCTTACATAATATACTTTATTTCCATCCTGTCTCTAAAGTTCCCTTGTAATGATTTCTTACCTAGTTTCCTTTTAATGTCTCTAGAGTAATTTTTCTTTAATGCTTGCATCTTGTCAGAGATTGTTTAATAGATGTTGGCTGAGTTGATAAAGGTCAGTATGCTTTGAGTTCTTAGTGCTTCCTGATTTCATGTGCAGATCAAATATGCCGAATGGACAGCCTAAGTGGCTCCTGTCCTTTATTCCAGACTATCCTATGCTTAATTTTATGCTTGTCACTGCAATTTATGTTTTGGTAAGCTTATGTTCTCTCTTTTCATTTGTCCTGAACGTTTTTAGTTATGATCTCGTCTGATCCATTTTCTCTCCATCTGTGTTCTCAATCGGGCTTACAACTTCCCTTCTGCAGATATCATATAGGCTTTTTGAACTAACCAACACTCTCAAGACAGTTTTCGTACCTACGAGAGACAATCAGAAGCTGCTTCACAACTTCATTGCTGGGGTTGTGATTTCTGTGTGCATATATTGCCTTTCCTTTATTCTTCTTCAGATCCCTCATTGATGTGTAAGTACTTATCCAACTTATTGACAACAAAAAAAAAGTGTTGTATGGTTAGTATGATGAAAAATGTTTTTGTTAAAAAGTATTTTCCTAAAGAAAATTATGTAAAAGTGTTTGGTTATCTTTAATTTTTAAAATGTTTTTCTAAGGACAGTACTTTCTACTAAAGGGAGAAAATGTCTTCTTTTACTTAAAAGATGTGTCATGTCCTACTCCATATCATTTGTTTCATACCAACCAACACTTGAATACTGTTATCAACCTTTAGTGCTCAAATATATTATCAAAACACTATTTATACCTTTCTTATACAGTTATCATATTTTACCGACTCTTATATTTAATCAAACGTTGAAAATGATCCAGAAATCATTATTTTAAGGTAAAATATTTCCCCATTGAACCTTTTTAATGGAAAATATTTTCCTCCATGCCAAGTTCTTATTCTTTTTGCCAATGCATAGTTGATGCCATCTGCTCTGTCACCTCATTCCCCTTCCCTCAATAAATAGGTGTATAAGATCGCTAGCATACATAATCACATGAATCATCCTAGTGTGTACTTTCCTGCTTGGAATAATTTGGTAGAACCATTTGTCTTAACAGCTTCACTCTGGGATGAGACAGTCGTAGATTACTCTAGAAAGATATAAAGTAGATGAGAAATCAGTCATATTATTTCTTGGATGGGATGGAGATGTTGATATTCAAAGCCAGCTTGCTAAGCATGCGAACAGTTTTGAGGAGTATCATTTGCAGTTGCTAAATTCAAGTATACAAGCAATTATTTTCAGAATTAAAACCTGCGTCTCCAAGGGACAACCAGTTGTATGATATGATATCAATTGCCAAGTGTATGCAATTTTTTCTTCTCTTTGCCGTTGCCTTTCATAGTCATGTATGTTTCCACGTTAATCAGTGTAAGAGAGAAATGTAGGCGTGATATGTGTACTTGTGTTCTCTAATCAGCAGACTTGAGTGATTCATCGCTAATGCAATTGTTCTCTTTGAGACTCTTTATTACCGTTTGTGAAGTCTTGAAGGAGACATTTTTTAAGTTCTCAGATTGCTATTCCATGGTCCAAAATTATAGAGGATTACAGAGATATTGTCTTGATTCAACATGCTTGCAACAATAATATAATGACAGTGAAAACTATTTAACAATTAACAATAACAACTATGTCGAAGTTGGGAACTACACATATAGTCATGATGCTATTTAGGAATTAGTCAATATTTATTTTGTCCTAAAAATTTAAACTAAAAATCTTAACTTCAAGTCAACTAAAGACATTTTTGTCCTAAAAAGTTGAACCGAAAAATTGTAATTCAGGATGCACAGGCTAATCTTAAATAGTAGTCCTTTAGAGTGGTTACCTGGTGTCATTTCTATGTACTAACTCGTTAATTGGGCTACATGCACTTCCTTTTGAAAAGTTATGGGCCAATTATGAACCGACTGAAGCCCAATGTTGTATATAGCCCTCTGCTAATTCCCACAACTATACTAATCACTCTTCTAGACTATTTGATAACTGATGAAAATCAAGATAATAAATTGTTAATAACACACACTGGATGACTGTACAATAAGATCAAAAGCACATGATTGAGATAAGTTATTAGCCAATTATGAACTAAAATTATTTTGACTAAGCTAGTTGCCGTATATCAGAAAGCAAACAAATCAAGATGAAGATTACTTCTATGAATCTGATGTTACTTTCAGATTCTTTTTTAATTCACATATACTTGATGCCGTATTAAAATTACGAAAAACATATCCTAACATTGATAATCAGCCTAAAATTTCGGCAGAATTTAGTGGAAAGCAACAACATATACCAGCCTCTCCATGCAATAATGTATTTTTTAAAGAGCAGTATATTAACAAGAACTTCAAAATAATACAAAAAATTTGCCTTCTTTCTTGCGTTACGCATCTGTTATAAAAATTTCCCGTTGGGAAAAAGAATATTTTTATTATCATTCTAAATTGTTTTGGGATAGGTAGATCCAGGAAATGAAAAAAGGAGAAGGATAATTTATAATGCGAATTGAACTTCGTAATTTTATAATAGACCTTTGATCACGTCCAACTATGCCTTATAAAAAGGATTAAGCGGTCGTTGCAAATATAATCTGGTTTACAAGTCTGGAGTCGAATCCCACAAAGAACTAAGGCTTAGCTACAACTGTTCAATATTGCTAAGAAGACTAGCTCGAATAATTCCTATGTAATAAATATTAAGATTATAGTATCTAATTAACTAACAAATTAAATTAGTAGATTAACAACTAGGGATACTAAGGGTTAGAGACAAGATTAAGGAGGTCTAGAGTTATGATTTCCCCTAGTGTCGGAATCCTTTCCGCTACGTTTTCTATAAATTTGCCTAAATCTTCTCTACCGATCATGAGCACTCTGACTGTTTGTAACTCTCTCCCGAGTAATTACTACAATTTACTAGATATATTCTCCCGAATTACGCTAGCTGGCATTAAGTCCGGCTCACTCGGATCGTATCAAGGTTTCGTTATCCCTAATCCCACCTTTAAACCCTCCATATTGATCCCTCATATACGTTAGGAGTGATGTTGTTCAACAACTACCTAAATATGCACTCTCTCCTGAGTAATACACAATAAATAGGCACTGTCGATTGAGAGCTCATCAACCAACCACAATAATAACGTAGTTGAACAAATAGAGAAAAAGCTACAACAAATCTATATAAACGTAATAGGAAAATCATCCTCCAATAGGTTCCATCAAAACCATAGATAACAAATTTGCTATTTATATAGTATGCATAACTACAACACTAAAATTCATAACCAATAATGGAAATAGGAATAAGGAAGTGAAAAAACCGTAGAAGAATTCTCCGTCTTGCTCTTGGTGTGTTTTTGCCTCCTTAGGTCGAATTTCCGATCTCCACGATAGCTCTGTACTCTTCCTAGGTCTACAGTGTATCCAAACTCGATCTCCCCCTTCAAAAGTGGCGTTTTTTGGTCTATTTATAAGTGTAGGAAAAAACCTAAACGTGTAAGTCAAGTCCTAGTCAAACCAGGAGACAAATAAGATCTTCAAAACTTGGACTGGGCCTGGTCTTAGGCTGGCCTCGCCAGGCTAAAGCCTGGTTCAGCCTGGTCTTAGGCTGGCCTCACCAGGCTCAAGCCAGGTTGAGCTGGCTTCGCCTAGCCTCTCCTTTTCAATGTTTTTGCGCACACTTTCAACGTTTAAGTACCCTTTTTGCTCTACTTTCATCTCCAATTTACCTACACATAAAATAGACTCCATTACACACAAATAAAGTGTAATTTATCAATAAAGTATGTAAAATGCAAGCATGTAATGTACGAAATTATGGAATTATTGCCACACATCAACCTTCTAGTATGATTTTCTGTTTCTGGGTGTCTTCTAAAAAAAATATACTAGCTATAATATCATCATCAACAACAACGATCCAATAAAATCTCACAAGTGGGGTCTGGAGAGGGTAATGTATACGCAGACTTTACCTCTACCCTAATGGGGCAGTAAAACAGTTTGCGATAAATCCTCGACTCAAGAAGACCGAAAAGACGAGAAGAGATAATATATCAGTACCATACTAGCTATAATACAGAAGAATAAAATCTATAAGTATACTTTAATTACTATCTGATTTCCAAATGAACACTAATGAGCTCAAAACTTTTTTAAAAAGGTAGTTTCTAGATAAGAAAAATATATGTGTCCGATATTTACACCAAATCAATAAAAGGTTTTAATAGTAATAAGAATTGCGTGGGAGGATGAATGCAGTTATCTTCTCATGATACATGTATTGTCATCTTGTGCTTCTGCTAATATATTTTTCCTACCATATGTAATACTTTAGAGGGTGTTTGGCTAAGCTTATAAGCTGATCAAACTGGCTTATAAGTACTTTTTGACTTATCTACGCGTTTGGCAAAATTAAAAGTGCTTATAAATCAAAAATAAGCCAAAAGTCATAAGTTGGTCTCCCCCAACTTATCAAATTTCAGCTTATAAGCACTTTAGGTTTGACCAAAATATTTACTATTCTCTATCCCTAAAATACTTATTTTTAAAACAAAACTCTTCGTATACCCAGTTCTTCAGCTGCTTATTATTAATTTCAGCACTTTTATCCAAATACGTAACTGCTTATTTTTAAATAAGTTTCAACACCTAAAAGTGCTTTTCAGCACCTAATGATTATCAGCCACTCTAAATCAGCTAAGCCAAATGGGCTCTTAATGTAATGCCCATGCTAAATCTATGATATCGTTGGTCAATTATTCTCTCTATCGATAAATACTAATACTAATAATAACAAAATTGACCACTGTTCTGTTTGGATCTTCATAGTAATTCCAATTTTTCCTGATCTGGCGGATGCTATTTGAAGTTTGACTTTTTAGAGTGTTTCCATGTGCTTCACCTAATTTAATAGTATTTGACATCTTCAATATTATGTCAATTGTCAGCCAATGTTTGATTCACTCAAACCGATACCCCATCTGCAATTATATTATATTTAATTTTGAATCCAAATATTAAGTCCTGCGTACAAAAAGAAATACTGATTATGTAGTTTTTTCATGGGAGGAATATTGGTGTCAACTTACATGAAAGGAAGGATCAGTCTCATTTTTGTACGTCCAATTCAAAAAACCAACCACTAAAAATCAACAAGACTAAATATCAAATTGTATTTTTTAGAGAAATTTTATAATTTGGTCTTGTTAGAGAATCTATTCCACATTGATATATATAGTGGATTATTCCACTTATTACCTTAAAGTTTTGGATACGTAATAGATGATCAAAATAATTTTCACATTTTATCAAAGTCAAATTACTTCAGTAAGATTATTATCTCTACTAATTATTTCTAGAGTGACAGATCAGAAACAGTCCACTCATTGTCTTTTGATGATGTGGATTGGATGTTTAAATTTTTTTTGATAAAATTACAAGCATTCTCTAAAACCAAAGGTGTCAATATGAACAGATGTGTACTCGACTAGCAGTATATATGCCCGAAACAATATAATGGAATAAGACCATTGGTTTTCACGAAAACTCCCGTGCTTTCACACCAAACAGTGGAGTAACATATTTTGAACGGAAAAGGGTCATGTATGCTAGTGAACTATGCGAATTAGGATAGATATGCGCATCGTTAATAGTTTGGCATATATATGCCTAATCCACCCGTTACTTGCTCATTCATGCCATTACTTTAACAGAACCACTATTTTGTCTTTCTTAATTAATGAATAATTGGACCCAACCCAAATCTACTGACCCGATCCGTTAGGACCCGACCCACCCTTATTTCTAAGATATTTTTGATATATTATTTTTGTTTGATTGAGAAATTGTGTGATAATTATTTTTATTTATTTGAGTAATTTGATAATCGATTTTTTTTTGTTATACATCATTTCAGGAATTAATCTTACTAAAAGCAGTAATTGATATTTATTTATTATTTAAATAATATAACATTCGAACTAGTTTTTGCTTTATTCAATCATTTTAGCATCTATTTTTATTTTTCTCACAATATATTTGTATTTTTCACCAATACAAATATAAATAACTCCATGTTCACTATAACTTAACCTGATGGATCCGTTTTTTTTTGTTTAGATAAGTGATCATTATATGATTGATTATTAGTTTATTGGATTATTTTTTGCATTACAAATTTATTATGAAATAAGTAATAAATTGTTAAAAGAGTGGTGCTTCTTTTCCATTTTTATTAATTAATTATTTCATAACAAGCACCACTGTTAATTCGAATATTATATTATTAAAATAATAAATAAATATCAATTACTATTTTTAGTAGGATTACTTCCCGAAATGATGTATAATAAAAAAAACGATTATCAAATTACTCGAATAAATAAATATGATTATCGCACAATTTCTCAATCAAATAAAAATAATATATCAAAAAATATCTTTGAAATAAGGGTGGGTCGGATCCTAATGGATCGGGTCAGCAGATTTGGGTTGGGTTT